AATGTGTTTGTAAAATTTATTTGTATGATTTTAATGTAACAACAAGGGTTGAATTAAGCGAATGTGAAACACAAAATCTGGAAAAATATCTAGTATTCAAAGTTTATACAAAACCGTGTTCCTTGTTTTTAAGGGGAGAACCAACTTAAATTTGTTAGCAAAAAAATAAATAATAAAACAATAAACTTACGATTACAAAAGTAATAACACTCTAGTCACTAACTGCATTACAAAAGTAATAACACTATAATAGTGTTATTACTTTTATAACGCACTTATAATTTTTAAAATTCATTCTTTGTTCATGCAACATAAGTATTCCCAAATTTTAATTGAAGCAGAAAAATGTCTAGAAGAATAAAGTGGATGTTCAAGTAATACTAAAACTTAATAACTTATAAAAACGTGACAACTTTATAAAAAACGTATCGTATTAAAAGTTTAGCATTATGAAAAACTTTACAAATGGAACGTAAAAACGCGCGTTAATTTTAAAATTAACCAATAAAATTTTTTTATTGGTTGATTTTAAAATTAACGCGCATTTTTATGTAATGTTTTTCATAATGCTATACTTTTTATAAAGTACTTTTTTATAATGTTGTTTAAGTGATTTGTGAAAGTCCCTAAAATTTCTAATACTTGAATATCCGCTTTATTTTTTCTAGATGCTTCTCTACTTTATTAAATGTTTGGAATTAATAATTTTGTTTGAACAAAGAATGAACTTTAAAAGTAATAAGTGCTTTATAAATGTAATAACACTATTATAGTTTTATTACTTTTATAATGAAGTTAGTGACTAAAGTGTTATTACTTGTGTAGTCGTAAGTTTATTGTTTTTGTTTTGTTTTTTGTAACTTTCTCGCTAGCAAACTTTTAATAACTTGCTCCTTATAAAGTACACAGCTTTGCATGGACTAAAATTTTAAAGAACTAATATTTTACCAGAGTTTGCAAATCGCGATCGATAATTTAACTCTTGATATAAACTTGTTACATTAATTATACAAATATATTTTACAAACAGATGACGATACATATTTTCTCTTTCCTCTTTAAAAGAAAAAACACATAAAATATGGGAAAGCCATCCTTTTTAAGGCCTAAAACTTTTTTTTGGTTTTTGTTTGTTTGGATTGAATTTTGTTGCCAATAATAATAACCACTAAGAAAAAAACAAAAATAAAAACAACACACCTTTCCTGGGAAGGCTTGGAACCATACAAGAGAGGTGAAATTACAGATTTGCTCTTATTATTGCTACTATTAAAGATTCTGCAGAAGTCACAAGAGCCTAATTTTTGTGATAAAATACGAGATTTCAGGACATGAGAATAGTGGGCTTTAGCGTTAGACTAAACCTTTTTACAATAGTTCCTAGCAGTAATAAACAGACGTCTGTTTTCTGGAGAATTGTTTTGCTGATAGATATGGAAGTAATGGTTTCGATTGGCAATTGCAACAGCATAATGAGAGGAAAACTATGGAGAAGAGTGAGGCTTGACCTGGAATCATCCAAAGGATTCCATGCCAAGATTCCATGCCAGCCTGAATCCACAAAGTTATGTAAGAAGCACATTTGTCAACAGGAAGTTATGTAAGAAGCACATTTGTCAACAGGAAGACAAAAGATTTCTACCAAGAGTCATCACGAAGAAAATCATGGAAAGAGTTCCAGTCAGCTTTAAGGTAGTTGTAAGAGGTACGATGATAGAGGGATTCAGATGATGAATATGAATGAGATAATAGTTTTAGAGAGATCAAACTGTGATCAGAAGCAGAGAAGGTGAATGATTCGGGTTGTCTGGAAAGTGAGTTGGAAAATTGACTATTTGAGTTAGGGATTGAGAAAGGCAAAAGTTGTGGGCTTTAATGCCTGCACAGTCACTGATACTAGAGGCAAGCCATTCATTATGATGAGCATTAAAGCCACCGACAACAACAATACTGGCTGATGGATAAAGAGAGGGCTTGGTAATAGGATCAGAAATAACATCAAGAAGAGTGCAGTCTTGATAAGAAGGGGAGCAATATAGAACAAAGAGAAAGGCGATAGAGTGAAGTGGTGCTAAATGAAAGCATATAAAAGAATAGTCTGTGAATTCAAACCTTGTTTTCTGACAAATGGATGAATTCTTACGAATAAAAATGGCCAAGCCAAGCATGTGACTATTAGAGTCTTTACGAATTAAAGGAAAACAACCATCAGCACTAAGATCACAAGATGAAACAGTTGAACTCAAATTAATCTTACATAGAGCAAGTAGGTTGGTGAGCTTTGCAAGAGATAAGACTTAACATGAAAAGTTACTTCAAAGACCACGAATATTAGTGAATAATAGATTTAGAGAACTTGGTGATGAAAATGGTTTTTTGTGTTTTATAGTTTTTGGTAATTTATTCATTTTTAAATTATTAAAGAACTTGACTCAAAACATAGATAGTAGTGATGTACCGATATCACTTTTTCGGCTGATGCCGATACCGATGCCAAAGAATAGGAAAAGGCCGATACAGATGCCGATACCGATGAATTTACTAAATAATAAAAATTTGAAAATATAAAACCATACAATTTTAAATCGGTACTGGTAAACAAATACTTGGACCCAAATCATAGCCAAACAATTAATTTAGAAGATATTAGAAAGACTCAGTTAAAAAAATATACATTTTTATTTTTTTTCTACTATGAAAAGAAAACTTTGAAAAAAATAAATACAACTAAAAAAAGAAAATAATCATATGCAGTTTACTATTTTTACTATGATTATTTATTAATTTATTAGAATTCTTTATTAATTTGTTAGTAATTTATATAACTAAACAACAATCATATGCTATTTAGATATAAATTATTTTTAGATAAACTGTTTTTAGAATTATTTTGTTTTGTGATGTTTGATCCCCACCACGTCCCTGGTAGTACAGCACTTAACTTGTTTCTACACGCAGCGACACTGTTCATCAAGGTTTCTGAGTTATAAAATTGGCTATTCTTAAACACATGAAATAAGGCTGAATTATTTGCAAAAAATTCCATTCTAATTAAACAGGCTAACCATTGTTAAACATTCAAATCATTTCAGCTTTCATTGCTCATAGTTATATCTTGATTAAAATCATATTTAATTAAACTCTTCAATGGCTTGTGGTCCAGACAATATTCCTGTCAGTCTTACATAATTGTTCTCTAGAACTCTCTTCAATTTTCTCTAAATTATTTAATAAGTGCTTGACTGAACCTTGTTTACCTGCCTGCTGGAAAATGGCATCTGTTGTTTTAATTTTTAAAAACTCTGGTAAACATACTGATCCCTCAGATTATTGTCCAATCAGTCTTCTTGCTGTTATTAGCAAGGTCTTTGTATCTTTGATAAACAAATTTCTCACATTTCATCTTGAGTCAAACAACTTGCTGTCAGACAAATAACTATTGCAGTACTGTCAACATTTCTATATTGATGAATGGCAACCCTCTCACTGATTCCACTTCTTTATGTCTTCTTAGATTATCATTTACTACTGATATATTTTTACACTTTTAATGGAAAACATTTATACAATCAATTGCTAAACTAGCATCTGCTAAGGTTGCTTCTTTTTATCATGCTCACTGTTTTCTCTCTCCTGATTTTATTCCCTACCTCTACAAATCTCTTATTCACCCCTGTATGGAATACTGTTATCATATTTGGGCTGGTTCTTCTAATGATGCTCTTTCTCTTCAAGATAAGGTCCAAAAACACATTGTAAACAGAGTTGGATCCCGTCTATCTGCTAAGCTTGAGCCTCATTCCCATCTTCGTAAAGCTACATCTCTTTATCTTTTCTACAAATACTATCATGGTTGCTGCTCAAAAGAGCTTTCATCTCTAGTTCTATCAACCAAAACTCATTTTCGCATGACTTGTCACTCATCAAAGTTTCATTCTTCGAATGTTTGTCTATTCATGCTCCAAAAACTTTTATTTGTCTAGCTCATTTCCACGCACTTCAAACCTTCAGAACTCTGTCCCATCTTCATGTTTTCCTGACTCATTTCCTAACTTTGCATAAAAAGGGGTATCCTACAAGGCAGCAGGATATAAAGCAGATTATACTGGGTTACATGTTTTTAGTAGCAGGATAGTCTGACCTGACATATTTGTATGTGACCTGACACATTTATATATATATTTATATATATATACATATATATAATTATATATATATATATATATATATATAAATATATATATATATATATATATATATATATATATATATATATATAATATATATATATATATATATATATATATATATATACATATATATACATTTATATATATTATATTTATATTATTTTATATATTTATATTTGAGGTGGGCAAAAAACTACCGACCTCGTTTCTTTGTTTTATGGTCAGACTTTTGTATCAAATAATTTATACCGACCTAATGCTGACCTCAAAAAGATTTATATATATATATATATATATATATATATATATATATATATATATATATATATATGCATATATACATATATATATGTGTATATATATATATATATATATATATATATATATATATACATATATATATATATATATATATATATATATATATATATATATATATATATATATATATATATATATATATATATATATATATATATATATATATATATATATATATATATATGTATATATATATATATATATACACGCACACACACACACACACACACATATGTTTGAAATGCAGAATTAATTTATTCAACTTAGTGAAAAGCATGGTTAGAATTTGACTTTTTTGTTTAATTTAATTCTAAAGACATAACTGATTTTATCTGATTTTTTGAAATACTTTGTATGTGCACTTTTTGAGACTAAGAAAAATAAACTTGACCATAATCTATTGGTTTACTAAACTAAATTTCTTTGTATATTTTTTTACGTAACTATATTCAAGATTTTTTTGTATAAAAGAATAAAATAAAGGGATACCAAGTATTTCTGCAGCTTCTAAATGTCTTTCTGGGCAAGCAGGAGCTGTAAAATTAAACACAGCAGGTGCAGTAATAATCACTGATAAACCATGGGGCTAAATTTAAAAAAATAAAAATATTTTTTTAGATAACTTGTTCTACTATTTAAAATTTATTTTAAATAATATTTGAATAATTAAAGTTTAAAATTGTTGAATTATGCAAGTTATTACTGACAATTAAATGATGATCTACGTAGTAATCTTTGGCTTTGTAATTTTTCACCATTCCTGACAATGCATAAGAAAGTCCATGACTAAAATAAAAATTGTAATTACAGTATGCCTTATGGTTGATAGAAGACTTGAAAAGTTGCAAATTGTTGCAAATTTGTTGCAAATTGTTGCCGTATTTGAAAGTTAGTAGAATAACAATAACTACAATAAAAATAACAAAGAAATAATGAACAAATGGAAAACAAAAAATATAGATATAAAAATGCTCAAAAAATAAACAACTTAAAATTTCTAACAAATTAAATTAATTTTATCAATTAATCTTACCAAAGATGACACCCAGCATTACCAAATCCAATGCCAGCAAAAACACTAGCTAAGTGCATTTCTGATCTTGCTTCAAAGTCATCTGGATTTTCCACTGCCCTACATAGTATTAGTACAAATAAAATCAGATATTTTATCCAGAGCAATGCTATAAATAATTTGGATTCAAAGACTTTTCTGTAAAAAGATATATATGAAAAAATAATATCAACTATGTTTACTTTTCAAAAAATAAATGAGAATATTTTTAATTTCTTGTGGCAAAATGAGCTATTACAATCAGACTACTTATGAGCGCTACCACAACAGGGTGTTTGCCAACCTGATGGCACTCAATATAATGTGAAATTCCTAATTTTTTTTTAAATTTCCATAATATCAAAAAATCATAGAGAAAAAAAAAACAACCTATTATAAGTTTAGAACATTTTTTGATTAAAATTTTTTTAATTCTTTGGTACTTATTGAACATTTTTGGTAAAAAAATTTAAAAACAATGTTGGTAAAATACAAAGCAATACCCTTTCAAGTCATTTGTCAAACATTTTTGTATTTTTGTTCTCTTTTTTTGCAATTTTATGAATAGTTTTAATTAAAATATATTTATATTATACTATAATTATACATTATATAATTATACTTAACAATAACAAAAACAAACAACTTTTTATATCTATACAATACAAGTATTTTATAGATAATTCATAAATATTTGCCTATATATTGTCATTTAATATTTTATACAGAGAGATTTTATGAGTAACCTTTTTAAGAACTTTGCAGTAATTTTTAAAGCATGTTTTGACCATACATCACTGATTGGATTGCTTCCTTGATATGCAGGTCTCAAAATAGGGTTAACTGGTCGAGGTGTTCTTTCATTATAAGGAATCGCAGTATAAGATTCCAAAGCATGACTGAAATAAAACACAGTTTAAACTAAAAAAAAAAAACACTTAAAAAAGTAACTTTCTAGAAAATATCTTATTAAGTATCTATTAGGAGAATGGGCAAAAAAAAGACGTAAAACTTAAGAAAAAAATTTTCTTTTAAAATTCTTTTAATAAAAAGTGTTTGTAAAGACAAATATCTTTTTTTGATATACCAGAATAAACTTTTGATTAATTACTGTTTGTTGTAAATTTGATTACTGATTACTGTTTGTAATATATTTAGCAAACATATATACTTACCAAAATACATCAAACCCACTGTTAGCACACACACGAGATGGCATAGTTAATGTGTGCAAAGGATCAACAATTCCAAGTAAAGGTCGCAAAGCGCGACTTGCAATACCTAACAAATAAAAAAAAATTAAACCCAACTTTGTGCTACCTTTAGTTTTATTCTTTTTTAAAATGTTTTTCCTTTAGATTTGTGCATACAGACAAGAAAATATCCATTTAAAATAAATAATTATAATGTAAGAAAAAAGTCATACCAGTCTTTGCATGAAGTGGGGAGTAATCAAATACTGCTGTACCAGTGGTTTCACTTCCTTGAATATAAGTTTTTTAAAAGATTTATTCATTTGAAAGAAAAACTCACACCTTTAAGTTTATATTTAAAAAATTTTATTTAATTTATTATTTTAATCAACACTACTACCATAAAGAAACAACATACAAAAAAAAAATACAACAAAATAAAAATAAGGCAAGGTCTGGAGTCCAAACTTTTATCTAAAATAGTTAATATAAATAACTTTTATCTAATAAGACCCAATTGTGGTGCCAATAATCAAATGAAATTATTTAATGTTTAAAGAGCGTTTAGTCAAAATGTCTAGTTTTGGTCAATTATCCATTCAGAATGAAATCCAGAATAATGTCTAGAATAAATATTCTAGAAAAATTCAAATATATTTTAAACATCTATTATTGAAATAATAAACATTGAAAAAGCGTTCAGATTTTTTTTAAAGGTATGTGATAGTGGTGGTGGCATAAAGCCACCACATTTGTTTTGTTATCAAGAAGTTCCATTTTCAATCCTGACCTTGTTCCTGGCAGTGCTGTACTAACTTGTTTCTCCGTGCAGCAACCTTTTTTATCAATGTTTCAGTTTAAGAGTTGTGAGGGCATTACTAACCACAATAAAATAAAAAAATAGTCTCCATCACTATAGTGGCCCATTCAGCTTTATGGAGGCGAATATTATTAAATATATAAAGCATTTAAATTGTGGCTAATTAAACATTTATTATACATTTTGAATGTCTCATTATTGTTAAAATTTTTTAATTATAAACTAAAAAATCTAAAATCAAGGCATTTTAAAATGTTTATAGAACTTTGAACCTTTCATAAAAGCATGTAAAAAAAAGATTGAAAAATTAAAAAAAGAAAATAGTAATATAAAAATAAAATACCTGTTCCTGCAGTTGTTGGAACTATGGAAGAAAAAAACATAAATTATTTTATCTTTCAAAGATAAAACAAATGTGACAAAAGCAGCAAAAGAGTAACAAAAAATAAAAGTAACAAAAAATTTAAGTAACAAAAAAATATAATTAATTAAAAAAATTAAATTTTTTTTAGTCTTTAAAACATGTTTCTAAACTTTTTTCAATTAGATAGTTTCGATAAAATACATATTATTAGTTGACAAGTTCGTTTTCTAAAACAGCATCACAGTGACCAAGGTAACTAATTTTTTGAGAACATTTGGGGAATGTTAGACCAAGATTCATCAATTAAAATGGTCAATGTTGGTTGGTTTTCTACCAACAAGTTTTCAGTCAATATACTTCTAAAGTTGTTCAATAGTATTGTGTGCCATTATTAATGGTGATGTTAATAATAGTTAAAAATTCAATTGAAAAACTATTTTATTTTAATCATAAAGCAACTTTAACTAAAAATTAACTATTAAAACCATTTTGTCAAAAGAATGATGATGTTTGCAGTTTCAAAACACATTTTTTTCACCAATAATCTCATCTAAACACGTTAAAAATCTTAGTTTGTTAATTAATTAAAGCTAAAAAGGGAGACTGATACTCTATTAAAAAGAAGACTGAGGAAAATTTTCACTGATACTCTATTAAAAAGAAGACTGAGGAAAATTTTCACTGATACTCTATTAAAAAGAAGACTGAGGAAAATTTTCACTGATACTCTATTAAAAAGAAGACTGAGGAAAATTTTCACTGATACTCTATTAAAAAGAAGACTGAGGAAAATTTTCACTGATACTCTATTAAAAAGAAGACTGAGGAAAATTTTCACTGATACTCTATTAAAAAGAAGACTGAGGAAAATTTTCACTGATACTCTATTAAAAAGGGAGACTGAGGACTTTTTTTGTTTAACTATTAATATTGGGTTTAGGTTATTGTTTTAAAAAATTTTTTAAGGTGGTTTATCAACAAAAAGAAGTGAATAAAAAACAAAACAAATAAAATTTTTATTATCTTATCATATAGAAAAATTTATTCTGTTTAAGATTTTTGAAAAAATTCTACCTTGAAAGAGGAGAGAAAGAGGAGAGAACTAACTGTTTATAACTGTTTATAACTGTTTATAACTGTTTATAACTGTTTATAACTGTTTATAACTGTTTATAACTGTTTATAACTGTTTATAACTGTTTATAACTGTTTATAACTGTTTATAACTGTTTATAACTGTTTATAACTGTTTATAACTGTTTATAACTGTTTATAACTGTTTATAACTTTTATAACTGCGTTTTTTAAGTAAAAAACTTTTTTGTCAAATAATAAGTATTTTTTACCATTCTTTTTAATTCTTGATTTTAAATATTTAAAAGCTAATTTTAAAATGCTAATTAAGAGTTCAAAGTCAACTCGTGT